GCCCCCCCCCCCGCCTCTCCATTCTCTTCTTCCAGGCCGAGGACAATATTTACAGCTTGCCTTCCCTGGGGATTTTCTTTTAAACACCAGTAAAATTGCCCTTGAGCTGCCATTTGAATCTGTTCTTAAATTTCTTCATTCATGAAACTAGGAGTCCCTAGAAAGAACCTCACTTCAACAGTATCAAGTGGTAACCAAGAACAGAATCATCGCTGGGTGGTGGTGGCACGCGCCTTTAATCCCAGCACCCAGGAGTTGGAGGCAGATGGATCTTTGTGAGTTCCAGGCCAGTCTGGTCTATAGAATGATTTCCAGGACTGTTACATGGAGAAAGCCTGTCTCAAAAACCAACAAAGCAAGCAAGCAAGGAAGGAAGGAAGGAAGGAAGGAAGGAAGGAAGGAAGGGGAAGAAAAGAAAAGAAAAGAAAAGAAAAGAAAAGAAAAGAAAAGAAAGATTGATTATTGGTTTTTCAGCAGCAAAAGTAACTTGCAATAAAAGAAGATATCTATCTGTGGAAACTTGTGAGAATCCAGAGCTGCCTGCTACCCAGGCCACACCCCACTGCAGCAGTCTCTCTGTCTCTGTCTCTGTCTCTCTGTCTCTGTCTCTGTCTCTCTGTCTGTCTCTCTGTCTCTGTCTCTCTGTCTCTGTCTCTCTCTCTCTCTCTCTCTCTCATTTTCATGAAGATAGGGTGTCTTAGTTAAGGTTTTTATTGCTGTGAAGAGACACCATGACCACAGCAACTCTTATAAGGAAAATATTTAATTGAGGCAGCTTACAGTTTCAGAGGTTCAGTCTATTATCATCATGGCAGGGAGCATGGTGGCATGTAGGCAGACGTGGTACTGGAGAAATAGTTGAGAGTCCTACATCTTTCAGGGACACTGGGCTGTATCTTGAGCATAGGAAACCTCAGAGCCCACTCCCACAATGAACACACTTCCTCCCACAAGGCCATACCCACTCCAACAAAGCCACACCTTCTAATAACACCACTCCCTAGGTGGCCAATTACATTCAAACTACCACACAGGGTCTCACTATATATAGTTCAGGCTGTCCTGGAACTCACTATATGAACCTGGCTGGCTTTGAACTCAGAGAGATCCACCTGCCTTTGCCTCCTAAGGGCTGGGGTTGAAGGTGTGCACCTCTACAGCTGGCTAGCAGTTTCATTCTTATAGCTGCTTTAGATCGAATGGCAAGGTCCCTAGAGAGAGAATGGAGACACTGTGAGTCTCTAATCCCATAACACACTACTCAGGTGCTTGAATGCCAGGAGAATGGCAGACAATATTGTTTCCTTAAGAAACATTATCGGTTCAGGCTGCCAGATCCCAGGGCATCAGAGGGCTACCAGTGCCAAACATCCACCACCTAAGCAACAGCTTCACTTTAACTAAATGTGTCCTTTCTCTCCAATAATCTTGGAGTCCCACATTCCTGGCTACTGATCAATCAGTGTTTTATTAAACCAGTGTATAAAAGCATTCTCCCACAGCATCCAACAGGATGCTCTTGGCTAAGGACATGGCATAACAGGACCCTGAGGCAGGTAAGGCCCTCTGATAGTTGGCTTTAGTGGGGCTCTTAACATCTTGGTTGAATATTGCCTGCAGGGGGAGGGGCTTGGTCCTGCCTCAGCTGATTGTACCAGGCTTTGCTGACTCCCCATGGCAGCCCTTACCCTTTTGGAGGAGGGGATGGGGGGAAGGCTAGGAATCAGGGAGGAGGCTCTGGGGGAGTGAGAGGAGGGAATGGGGGGAAGGCTAGGAAGGGGGAAAGGAGATTGGGGGGAGTAGGAGGAGAGGTGAGTGGGCAATCTGTGGTTGGTATGTAAAATGAGTAAAATTTTTTTTTTAAATAAAAAAAATAATATCGCCCGCAGCTGTACTGCAGCCTGTGTTTTGAGAACCCTCCTGGCCTCTTCTTTGCAGGACCCCAAAGATCCCCAAGTTCACTGTCTTGTTCTACCTTTCCCATGCACGTTTCCCCAGACAGACTGCATTCTTGTTTAAGTCCTTCTTGGTCCCTGCTTCACGGAGGTTCCAAATTAAAAGTCCACCTTCAAGCAGGAACCCTTGCTTGGTTTCATTGGCTTCTCTCTTTTAGCATGGGTTAGCTGGTACACGTGAAAACTTCCAATGGTACCCGGCAATCATATTCTGAAGGAAAGGGGGGGGGGGTGCGGAAAGGAGTGTGTGGGCCGTGGAGTAATGACAGTACCCGCCTTACACTTTCCACTGGTTGCTTCTGTTTTAATGAGTAAAACTGGGCTGTTCTTACCTTTGAGTTTTCTTTCCAGAAGGAAGGTGGCAGCATCTGAACAGGCAGATGAGTCTTCAGGGTTCGAGGGGAAGGCATTTTGTTAGCCAGATCCAGACCTAGGAAATGAGGCCACACTGTTCAGCCAGATGTTTCTCCCCAGCTGTGTGGATCCCCTATTGTGTTAAACGCTGGAAATTGTGTTGGCCAAATGATTGACTCTGTGGTCTTACATATATAAGGGCTGTGTCTCCCTCCTGATGGCAGCTTTCCAGTTCGTCCTAGAGGATCCTACACAGTGATGGGTGGAACTACACCTTAAACAGGACCCCTTAGTTATGCAAACCTCTTGTCCTTTACCTAAACTTAGATCCCATGTCAGGAAACTGAAGATGGGCTGAGGAAAGGGTTAATCATTGAAACTTCTTATTTATTGTGTAGTGGGCTCTGAACTAAAGTTATGCCTTCTTGTGAAACTGTTCCTAAGAATACTTAGTGCTAACACTATGTTGAGTAATCTGGTCTCTGGACCAGCCATAAATTCTTAAACAATGTGTCCCTGACCTCAAGGCTATGAGAAATGCCAGACCACTGAACTGCTATCTCTCCACTTCTGTAAACAAAGCTTGCTTGCTGCAGCTGTCCGTAGGTGCCTTCTGTATACATCACAACTGAAGTTTTTGCCTTTAAAAACTTGAACAAATTGGAGGTTGTAGCTGTCTCCTACTACTCTGTCTGGGACAGCCCCCACTGGTGGTGAATAAAGGCTCCATATAATTTTATTTGTTTGAGCCTCTCAGATGTTTCCTTTCTTTAAAACCCATAACATTTGGAGGTTCCAACAAAATCCCAGAGAAGACTCCTGGCCCCTAAGGTGAGTGCCTCCTACCTAGGAAAAAGTAAGGGCTGTTAGTCCTAGAGAGGCCACTGAGAGGATGTTCTTTAGGTCCAGAAATTGACTACCTCCCGCCAAATTGCCCCCTAAAATTTTTGAAGGAGTCTTCCTGTGTACCTGTATTCGAGAATCTCTGTAAGTAACATAAACCTGGGTTTCAGGTTTTCGGTAGGTCTGGGGAGCCAATCAGGGGATACATGAAAAAAGCTGGCAACAGTGTAAGAATACCTGAGTTCAGGTTGAGGCCAGAACAGCACCACAAATCCACAGGATCTGGTTTGTCTCGGTGGCCACCAATCTGTGCTCTGTATTTGTTGGATTCATTTCCATTGTCTCTGTCCCTTGCCTGTGTTTTTATGCCTCCATTAACCATTTCCAATTATAGGCAGACATGGAAAACTGAACCTCATTGATGCTCCCAACCTCCACCTTGGAATGCATGTTACAAAACTTTAAATTAGGTTTCAGAGCATGAGAATCAGAGTGTGGAGTCCACTTCTCCAAGGGAACTCTCTGTTCACTTTGCAAATTGGATTGGTCAGCCTTTGGTGTGGGATGAACTGATAGTTGTGTCATGCAACATTGAAGTTGCTGACAGGGTTCAGTCTATCATTCTAGGAAGACCAGGATCAGTTTCCCTACATTTAAGCATGGCTGGATAGCCTGGGAACACAACCTCCCTGGATGCTAGAGTGCAACACACATGGGATCCGGAGGATGTTAGCAGTACAGGAGAAAAAGCCTCCCAAAGTGTCAGAGGACCCCTGACCCTGAGTTTTCACAGACACCCTATGTCCCACCTGTGACTCCTTCTGGACCCACTGCCCCTGACTCTGTCCTTAGCTTTTCCCACACCTGTAGTGGGTCCTCCTATGCCCTACCTCCCCACTCTCAACTGTATCCAAGGCTTCCTGACTCACTCATCCTCACAGGACCCAGGTATAGACCAAGCCCCATCTCAGTTCCCTCTATGGGTCCTTGGCTCCCTTCATAAGGGATGCTACAGGTGATGTGGCTCCATTTATGGTCTATGTTCCCTTTTCTACCAGTGATCTTTATAACTGGAAAAATCAAAACTCCCAATCCTCTGAGAAACCCCAAGGTTTAATTTCTTTCCTCAGACAGTGTTTTTACACTCACCAGCCTACCTGAGACTGACTGCCAGCAGCTACAAACTCTCTCTACCTCAGAAGAGAGAGAAGAGAGAGACAGAGGATCTGGAGGGAAGCAGGGTAATCCATACATAGCCTCTGAGGACACCTTGATTCTGGAAGCTGCCTTCCCTTCTACCGGACCTCAACAGGACCCCAACACTGCCCAAGGTAAGAGGACTCCCTGCACCTAGTGCTGGACTCTGATAAATGCTCTCTGCAATTCTGCACAGAAGCTCACAAATTTGTCTAATGTTAGTGAAGTTTTACAAGGACCTACTGCAACTCCTTCCATGTTTCTGGAGAGGCTATTAGAAGCCTACCAGATCTCTACACCCACTGATTTGGAAGCCCCAGCAAATAGGCACATATCTCTAAGCCTAGCACTTTGGGGGCAGAGGCAGGAAGATCTCTGAGTTCAAGGCTCTCTGAATTCAAGGCTAGCCTGGTCTGCAGAGCGAGTTCCAAGACTGCCTGAGGCTCTACTGCTTCTCCCTAGTGCCTTCCTATGGGAGCAAGTATTTAACTTTCTGACTTTGGGGACATATATGCTCCAAACTACAGCCCATGCCTTCACTGAGCTGGGACACATACAGAGCACTCCAGATGCTTGCACACCATAGGATGTGTGCCTTCTGCTACCAAGTCATGCATTTTTTAGGACAGGAATTATGTTTGTTGACCTCAGCTACTTTCACCATACTCCTTTCTGTTTCTGTTTGAAAGTGCTTTCTAGAAGGAAGACTGTAGAAATGATATTCCTCTGGGGTAAAAATTGATACTGCACAGTGATCACAGTCTTCTGCATCCCAGTTGGGGGACCTTACCCGAGTTGAGGGGTGGAGGCAAAGTCCACTCGAGGAAAGGGTGGCGGTCAAAGGTGTTGGCCCGCTGGCACTTTTGCACATCCCCATCATTTTGGATCATGTCCACAATTTCCTGTGTCCAGGTGGTACCTAGAAGCAGCCATTATTTTCAGTTCTACCCATTCATGGCACAATTCAATTCTATTTAATCATCACACATATACTCAGCTACATTCAGGTTTGCTGGGTTCTGGGTAGAATCTACTCATCTGTTACATTCTCTGCACACTCGGTGTATTTTTGCTGGAGTGGGGGAGGGGGCTCCTCTAAACACTAGTGGCCCTCTGTGCTCATTGTCACCATGTGCTTGTAGTGTATGCTTCCTCATGGCCTCTCTGTCCTCTTTCTCCCTAGCATTCAGCAAAGCATTTTGCCCCGCCCCCCATAAATTGAGTTTGACTGAATAAATATGGAGTCAGGCAAATGTGCATTGATGCACAGATGAGTTAGCCAATGCTTCTGCTCTAACAAGCTGATGGTCCTTTTTGGAGGAGACAGAACAAAGACTGCTTCTTGCCTGACTGCCATCCCCTCTTCTCTTCCTAATTAAGAGATCCTCCCATTTTAGTTAGGTAATTAGCTACTTGAGTGAAAGGTCACAGTTTTCAGTCTTTCTTGCACCAGGATCGAGTCACTACTTATGATGTCTCTATTACTCTCAGATAAACCCAATACATGAGGCATACACACAGCCAGAAGGAAGGCAAAAATGAGGGAGGGGGATGTGCTAGAGGAGTGTACAGGAAGGTTGCTCAATCACTGCTGAAAGGCCAGTGAGAGTAGAACTATGGCAGCTTTGGCATGAAGAATGCATATAAGAATAGAATATCACCTGCCCTAAGAAGGAAGTATTCTCGCGAAGGGACCAGTGCAGGTGTGTTACACACCTGGGAGTATATGGAGGGTTCATGAGAGGCTGAGAGGTGCTGAGAGAAATGATGCAACAAAGTCAGAGAGAGAGAGGGAAGGAGGGAGACAGTGTGTGTTTATGTTTGGGACCATTATACAGAGGCCTTGCAGGTGACTGCATGATTTTCAAGGTGGACTGAAGGAAAATCTCTGCTCTAAGGAGATGTACAGGCTTAAGTTTCAGATATGGGGAACTTAGCTGGGAAGCCACATGTCCAGTGAAAACCAGACAGAAAGGGAGAGCCTATAGCAACTGGAAACTCTGCTTGGAAACGTCTAAGCTCAATGTTGGCCCACGAGCAAGAGGGGTGGAGATGAAAACTAATATGGAACTCAATGCCCAGGGACAGAAAAGGTTCCAGAGCCTTTGATGGGTGGTCCTTTCCTGAAATCCAGCTGTTTCTTGTTGTCAGAATCCCTCTTAACTAAGTCAAATGTCCAAACTATTAACTTCGTCACATTGTGTGGGATTATGAAAGCAAATAGTGGGGGTTGGGCGCTGCTAGACACTCACCGCTATCTTCCCAAGGGGGATGCCCCTTAGTGCTACCCTCTGCCCAGGCCCATGCCATTCTTTGTCTTTGGGACCCCTTCCCCATAAACCCCTCTTCATTCCCTAGGATCTAACAACTGATACCTCCTTCTCCATCTCTCCCTCAGTGGATGCGCATGGGCCTCTCAGCACTGCTACGTGGCTGCAAGTGCCCAAGTCCACGTCAATCTAGGCCACGAGGAGCAGTCTAGGTGCTGGAGAAGCGAAGAGAGAGGGGTGGCCTGGCTGGTGGGATTTACCCTAAGCATTTCCATTTTATTTCCTAGAGTCTTTGGGGGCTTGTGATGTTTGGTCCGTCTCTGTCTTTCTTTCAATAGCCTAATTAAAGGAGAACCCTGTGGCTGGGGCACGGACACTTATGAGTTTGGATTCCCCCCTCGAGCCGCCAGGGACTTGCCTAGCTGAAGGCCTACATTTCCTCTTTTAATCAGGATGCCCACGTCAGAAAGCACTTGTTCCGTGCAAGTGGCTTTGCCTGCTGCACTCCTTGCACCCACCTGCCTTTGCATAGGTCGCAATGAGGAGGTCGTCAGGCTTTGCTTGGAAGTTCCAGATTTTGTCCCAATTATCACTTATCATCTTGGACATGAGGATCCCATTCACTTCTTTGGTTTCTGGCTGCAGGTACCGTTCGTCCAGGTGGAGGTTTTTCATTTCTTCCGAGGACATCTTGGGATGGGGACTTGACAGATTCTGTAGGAAGGTGAATTTATGTTACTTCTAATACTTGGGCTTAACTTTGATTCTCTCAGGTGAGCAGAAAAGCGACTCGCATGTTTTGTGTTCATGTAGCAAGAAAAGTAAAGTTGTGGGTATGTGGGACATTTGAAACAGCTTGGCTTGAAGGAACAAACATCTCTAGGGGACAGCTACCAGGAAGGAAGATAACCCTGGAGCAATCTGCCATTTTGTGTGCATTCCATGGAGACAGCCTTTCTGAGGCCTGAGAGACAGGCAGAGACATGGGCTTGTGCCACAGCCCACAGCTTCTTGTGAGGTCTGAGCAGCATGAAGTAGATTGTATGCAAAGTGGGCAGAGGTGGGCTCACTAACTAGCACAAATACAAACATGACTTCATGTAACATCTTCCTAGGGGTCCCCTCTATGAGGTTGTGGCCGTCAAAGGGTCACAGCATGGCAGTCTGGCTGACAGAAATTTTCTGGAAGTCTACAGTAATAAGTGGTTCATCAGTGGTAGGGCTCAGCTGAAGAGCAACCACCACATAGAGCCACCTCATCTTTCTTTGGGAGAAAACCCAATGGCTTGAGATGCGGCAGCTATTTCTATGAAAGAGAATTTTGCTCCAATTTCTTGAAATCTTAGAATTAAATTGATCATAGATCTCTGTGTGTTATTGCATACCTGTAGTCAGTCACAGCAATGAGAAGCTGAGGCAGGAGGACTTCAAGTTTGAGACTAGTCTGGGCTACACACACACACACACACACACACACACACACACACACACACACCCTCTTTATATAAAAATTATAGAACCATAATAAGTCAAGCCATAGCATTTCTGTTTTTGTTCTAGGTTTAAGAATGATCCTGGCATGTTTAGCAAGTGCTTCCACGGCTAAGAATTTGATATTCTGAAACAGCTAACAGATGGAACTTAGAGTTAGGGTTTAATGTATTATCGAGGAATTTTGCATGCAGATTCTATTTCATCAGGCTTGTCCGTGAGAGAATCCGAGTTACCATACTGATAAGCTTAACTTGGGAGACTTAGGATATTTTTTGAGGTAGGATATTCATCTGCAGAGGGAAGGGGCACATGGTCACCCACAGTTCTCAACCTTGCATTTGAGTCCAGCAAAGGAATGGTGATGGTTGCTGCATTTAGAAGACACATCTGTTCCCATGTACAGCACCCAAAGGGACCCGGAGGCACAGGCTGGAGCATGTGATAGGCTTGACTGGACCAAGGCTTGGCAGCCCTTTCCTGTCATAGTGTAGCTGTGGGGCTCTACACTGGGATGTCCATCCTCTCTCTTCCTCCTGCTGAAGTTTGCTGCCTTGCTTTTCATCCCCAAGGCCAGTCATTTCATTGCTTATGGGCAGCTACAGAAATGCCTGGGAACTCTGGGATGTGGGAGGACTCGAGCTCTGGTTCCTCGGGAAGTGGGCTCTGCCAGGTGGGCTGTTCCTGACACAACAGCTTTGTTTGACCTGAGAAGGTTCATTTAACCTATCTTCTGTTCATGGCTTCCAAACTAGAAAGGACTCTGGGATAAATAAAACATGTGGCAACCATCTTTTGAGGACAGGTCCTCCCGTTCTGTTCTGAAGTGACAAACTGACTGTCACTGACAGTGTGTGGAGCTTTCCCAGGAATTCATGTCAGCGAGGTCAGAGGTGAGGAAACATGGGACGGGGGAGTTTCAGGTAAGTCCTGAAGCAGCTTGAGATCAGAGTGGTTTGTGGAGATTTTCCTTTTGTCTCAAAGACTAAATGCATTGTGGAAAATGGATGCTCCCTGAAGTAACAGGAAGACACAGAGGAAACCTAAGTGCATACTACAAAGTGTAGGAGACCTGTTTGAAATGGAGACATGCTGCTGGAGTCCAAATGTGTGGCCTTATCCATGCGGTGAGACCATGGAGACAGTGGAGGTCATTGGGGGTCCAGGACTGGGTGGATGAATAGGGAAAGCATGGAGGAGTTTGGGGGTGGGGAAATGACTGTATGATACTGAGAGAGTGAATGCCCATCATTATATTAACCCCATAGGACGTGGTATGTGAAGAGCCACCTAGGCATGGTGGTGTTCACTTGTCATTCCAGAACTGAGATGGTAGGATGATCAGGGTTATCCTCAGCTACATAGTGAGTTTGAGGCCAGCCTATGAGATACTGCTGCATGATCATGAGAGAGAGGTAAAAATGGCATGTGGAAGAGCTGAAGCCAAGAATGTAGGCAGGCAGCCCCCCCCCACTCCTTTCCTTCCTAGGACTTCCAGGAATACAGTTTCACCCCCAACGCCTGACCTTAGGACTTGTGTCTTGGAACCTGGGAGCTGGAAACCTTGTGTTGCTTTAACCCACCATGTTTATAATCATCTTTTAAGCAGAAACATGAAGCTGGCACAACAGCGGCCCAGGAGTGAAACATAAGCCAGGAGCTCATCCGGAAACTTGCGGAGCCAGGATTTTGTAGAGGGCATTAGGACAAAGAAGCAAGCAGTGTTTGTGGAATCACTAGGTAACCACCTAATACAAACCTACAACCCCCCTCATCAGTCTGTCTGAAACTGCTGAAGCCCCAGCAAGGCTTTTCTTTGTAAATCATCTGGTGGCACACCTTCTTGACCTGTATACCTGTGGTGGTTTGGAAGAAAACGGCCCCCATAGGCTCATAAGGAGAGGCGCTATTGGGAGGTGTGGCCTTGTTAGGAAAAGTGTGTCACAAGGAGTGGGCTTTGAGGTCTCAGATGCTCAAGCCAGGCCCAGTGTTTCTGTCTCTTCCTGCTGCCTGTGGATCCAGATGTAGAACTCTCAGCTACCTCTCCAGCACCACGTCTGCCTCCATGCCACCATGCTTCCCACCATGACAGTAATGGACTAAACCTCTGAACTGTAAGCCAGCCCCAGTTAAATGTTTTCCTTATAAGAGTTTCCATGGTCATAGCATCTCCTCACAGCAATAGAAACCCTAACTAATACAATATTCAAAGTGGCAGAATCAGACCTGAGATGACAGCCCTTCTCATCCTGCACACCTACTTACATGGACCTTGTGTTTGGAAAGGGTGCGGTCCCTTACTCCCAGAGGAAAGCCTGAAGTAAGGTGTTTTTTTTTTCCCCATTGTCTTTCAGTCTAGGGTCAGAAACTGTAATGACTGGTTGAGGAAAACAAAGAGACACTCAAAACTCCTCAGCCTAGAACAAATAGTCCCTGTGGGATAGGAACCACGATGGGTCAGAGGGACAGGACATAGATCCTGCCTGAAGAAGTGGAGACTTCCCCCTTGTGGCCTTCCCTGGCAATGTGTGCCACAGAGAGAGTATTCAGCTCTTCTCTGAGTTCTTTCATGGGTTCTTTCTCTTTCTCCTTTTTTCTTTATTAAGAAATTTTCTACTCTACATACCACCCACAGACCCCACCTCCACCCTCCTCCCATCTCCCATCCCTCCTTCCCAAGCCACCCCACATCCCCACAGCCCCCACAAATCAAGGTCTCCCATGGGGAGTCAGCAGAGCCCGGCACACTGAGACTAGGCAGGTCCAAGCCCCTTCCCACTGTACCAAGACTGCGCAAGGCATCACACCACAGGCACTGGATTCCCAAAAGCCTGCCTGTGCACCAGGTACGGATCCTGATCCCCCTGCTTGGGTGTCCCCCAAACAGTTTGAGCCAAACAATCATCTTCCATATCCAGAGGGCCTAGTCCAGTCCCCTGGGGGCTTGTCCAGTGACTGATGGAGGCAGGTGCAGAGATCCACGGCCAGGCTCTGGGAATCCAATCCATGAGAGAAAGGAGGGATTCTGCAGGTGGGGAACGTTGAGATCATGACAGGAAGAAGTGCAGAGATGACCAGCTACACTATTGGAGGCCCATGAACTTTCATGGGTTCTTATACATGTTTTTGTGCATTTCCCTTTCAGATGTGACTGCTTATGCCTGGGGACCCTGGGAGAGAATCTGGAGTCAGAGCAGCAAAAAGGTGGCTAGCTACTCCCCTTAGTGAAAGAAAGCAATTGGTGAGAGAGGGCCACAGCATGAGGATGAGGAGAAAGATCATTTCTGTCCCACTTAAGTACAGAGGTGTTAGGGGGATCAGGTGAAGTGCATTAACCATCTGTTGACCTGATCTGTGCAGGTTTTGGGTTTTTTTTTTATTTGTTTATTTTGCTTTTTTTGAGATGGGGTCTTGCTATGTAGCTTTGACTGTCCTGGTGCTTGACCAGGCAGGTCTGAAAAACAGAGAACCACCTTCCTGCTGTGATTAAAGGCATGTGGCACCAGCTCTGCCTATAGTTTGTGTTTTAATTGACACTCATGAAACAAAGCATATCTAAGAAATAACATGCAATCAGACACTCAAAGGATAACATTTTGCCTTATTTGTTTAAATAGGTACAGTATTCCAGATAGCTAAAACCCTGTTGACAATCTTTCTCCCTCCATTCCTCTTTTATCACAGAGAAAATTATGATCAAATAATAAATTATAATCATAACTCAGAATTGGGCATGTTATCTTCACAAAGAATTTGTCATTTGAATTACATTTGTATTCATAATAAAACGATAAATAATAGCTCTCTCAATCCCCACAAGGTAGAGTCTGTACCTCATCTCTCCCCCTTTCCCATCTCTTTTTCTCTTCACTTTTTCTTCCTTTTCTCTCTTTTGCTCCCTTCTCTCCCTTCTCCCCAGTAAAATCCTCTACATGAGGAATAATCTTAACTATCATCATAGAGCCTTCATCCATTATCTGATGGAAGCAGATGCAGAAATCCACAGCCAAGCACCAGGCCGAGCTCCGGGAGTCCAGTTGAAGAGAGGGAAGAGGGATTATATGAACAAGGGGACTGGGGTGTGTGTGTGTGTGTCTAGATCAGGATGGGGAAATCTACAGAGACAACTGAACCAAGCTCATAGGAACTCATGAACTTTAGACCGACTGCTGTGGAACCTGCATGATACCAGACTAGACCCTCTGCATATGGGAGAGAGATGT